CTCTGTCCCCCCATCATCAGCATGGGTTTGAGGTTCTCCACAACATCCTCTCAAAACAAATAATCTCAGGTTGTTTTTAGTACGATCCAACTCAAATGTAAAAAGTTCTTAGATGATCAACTTGGCTTTCCCCCCCTCTTTTTTCCCTTTTTACTCTACTGACTTGCAACATACTATGAATTGTTAACAGGTTTGTGTTTTGGTATGGGGGGGAGGACCCAAAAAGCAATGACCTTTTTTGTTTGGGAGGGAGGGGGAGGTTGGTCCTGTTCCATGGGGAAGAATTTTTTTAAAAACTCTTTTGTTGCTGCAAAACAGCCACTCAGTTTTGTGAAATAAAAATGCGGGTGTTGTTTTTTTTTAAAAGAACAACTTGTGTGTGTGGTTGGTGTATTTGTCAGATGGTGAAGAAGCTCTCAAGCAGGTTGGGTTTGATTCTGGAGGGGAAATGGTACGAAAGCCTGGGCTCAGCACAATCTCTTAGACACAGACTGAATCCAACACAGGGCCCGATCCACCTACTGGGGTTGAGCAGTTCCTCTTTCCTTCCCTATTGTGCAAAAGAGCTGCCCCTCTTTCCAGCTGCCTCCGCACCAGACACACTCCCTGGCCCCACATAAAATGCATTTCACAACTGCGGAGGTCACAGGAGGGTTGCTCCCCCATTGTGTCCATAACTGATGCTGGCATGACAGCTGCTGAGAACACAGGCTTTGGGAAGAAAACAGTCTAGTGGAACCCAGCTGGGTTTCTCCACTTTTTTATTTAAAAACAACAACACAGAACTGCTCAAGCTAGCCTGAGCCATCTTCTTACATTTATTTTGCCCTCCCTGTTGAAAACCCCTTTCCGACCAGGCCTCTCAGTGTCAGCCCTGATGTGGAGCTCTTCCTTGGCCAAGGGCCCAAAGTGGGGACTTGCAGGCTCCATCCTCCAAATGGCATTGCTCTTTGAGATGAAGCGAGGAGAGTTTGGAGATGGGGGCTATGTTGTTTTTAACCACCCTTGACCCATGGTGACCCTGTAGACAAAACATCTCCAAGACCCCCTGTCCTCCACCCCTCTGCTCCGTGCCTGCAAAGTCATACCTCTGATCTCTTTAACAGAGTCCATCCATCTTGCATGCAGCCTTCCTCTCTTTCTACTTCCCTCTACCTTTCTTTGTGTTAACTTTTTTCCAATGAGTCCGTCCTTCTCATGATGTGTCCAAAGTTTTCTCATCTTGGTTTCCAGGGAGGTTTCTGGCTTGATCTGCTCTAGGACCCGTTTGTTTGTCCTTTTTGGCCATCCATGGTATCCTCTGCACTCTTCTCCAGAAACACATTGTCTCAAATGTATTGATTTCCTTCCTAACCATTTTCTTAACTCTCCAGCTCTTACATCATCCATCCATGGAAACAGGGAATACAATGGCTTGTACGATTCTACCTTTTGTACTCTGTTGTATATCTTTGTATTTTGGGAACTTTTCTAGTTCTGCCCTCCCCATTCTTGGTCTCTGAGAGAGAATCTATGGGGCTATGAGAGAGAGAGAGAGAAGGGGGGCTTGCATCTGGCCTGAGCTCTCCCCCTTCCCCTTCCCTTTCCCCCAGCCCAGCCTGAGACTGGATTTGGCCTCGGTCATTAAGATGCTGAGCATCCCAGCTCCCGGACGGACGGAAACTAATCCTTCACTGTGAAAGAGCGAAACCCGGGTGCTGTGGACAATGAGTGGGAGAGTGGCTGGCAGGAGGAGGAAGAAGACAGAGTTAGTTGCAAGTGAGACTCTCTTTGCATTTGGCATTCACAGCCACCAGCCAGCCCAACCCTTGCCCAGCTCTCTAGGAACAGCGCCGTCCATTGTGCCTATTGCCATTTTTTGGGAGCGAACGGCCTCCTTCCAAATTGGGGCCCTGCTGCTTTGCACTCGGACAGTTCCTAGCAGCCCAGCAATGCATCACCTGCATGTGAGACTCAATGGAGGATGGTGCTGCTTTCCAGGCATTGCAGGTTGATAGCAGCCTCCCCAGAGAAAATGCTATGCTTTGGATACTGGCGGTGTCCATAAAATGCGGGCCATCCTCCAATGGTGCTTGGTTTAGGAATTCAGAAATTCCCCTGTGATCTGAAATCCACCTCCAGATTTTATTCCATGGGCCCCGTTTAAGATGCCAAAAGCACAGCGGATGCCAATTTAGGAAGCACCTCTTCCTCTGGAGATTTGACAAGCCTCAGCATCTTTAAAAAATAACCATAATCTGGATCTTCTGCTTTTTGGGGGGGGGTGGAATTAGGATGAACCTACTGTTTGGCTCACTGGTAGGACTTTTGCTGGAAGGGGTTAGGAATGACCTTATTTTCTCCCCATTTGGAAGCAGCTTTTATAAGATTTTTAAAATAATAATCTGGATCTTCTGCTTTTTGGGGGAAATTAGGATGAAAATTCGAAAAGCTGAGTCAGGGGACCCTGTTGGCACTTTGAGAACGCAGCAGTCAGGCTTAGCCCATCTTTATATTTGCTTGCTTACTGGATTTTGCTAATTTCTCAACTCCTTCCAGAATCTTCCAGATGCTTCTGTTTGGGTTTATTTCAGTTGTTAGCAGGTCTGCTGCCAGAATCCTATGATGGCTTAGTCCCAACAAGAATCTGATCATCTCAGTCATCCTTCTCTGGAAACCTTCCAGCTCCCAGTTCCATCAACCTCCTTCTCAAACAGTGTTGCCCAGAACTGGACACAGGACTGAGGTTGAGGTATGACCCAAAAAGAACAGAGTGGCACCATGACTTTGCTTGATCTGGACACTCAT